AGTGTGTGTGTGTGTGTGTGTGTGTGTGTGTGTGTGTGTGTGTGTGTGTGTGTGTGTGTGTGTGTGTGTGATGCACTTTGGCGAGCGTGCGTGCCACCAACGTACAGCAATATCAATGATCTTTACTGTTAAGAAGGAACAAACAAACACGACGTAGCCCTTAAGGCACAAGCACACAGACACACACACACACACACCACCACCACCACCACTGCGGTGTTCATCAGCCAGCGGTATCTGAACCAGCTCCGGGACAGCGCACCGGACCACCCGTTTGTCAAGGACCTCAACAAGCACGAGGAGCTGTTCCAGACATTCTCGACGTGTGTGTGTGTGTGTGTGCGTGTGTCTCGTGTCTTATATGTGTGCTCTGTTCACACACACACACACACACACTCACACACACACACACACTCACACACACACACACACACAGCGTGCACGGCTAGATGGTGCGTGGAGCGCCCCTGACGAGAATGCGGCGTGCGGATGTGTTGGCGGCGGTGGCGATGGTGGACGACGCGCGTGTGTTCAACTCAACACGTGGCATCGCCGTCTCAAACACATACGCGCGCGGCGAGAACCCTCGCGTGTGCACAAAGTTGAGCAAATCCTGGACAGAATGGGGGAAGCAAAGGAGGAAGGAGGTGGAGGAAGTGGAGGTGGTGGTGGTGGTGGTTGGGAGCAGAATGACTGTGGTGAGTCAAGAGAAGACATGAGGGGAAACGTGACACATGACGGAAATACACACGTACAAATGTACAAATGTACACACACATATGATCACGCACGCACACACACGCACACACACACACACGCACGCACACACACACAGACACAAATACACGCAGACACAAATACACCACTGACCTGCACTGTGTCTGTTCCGGCGAAGCGGCGTGTCAGCTCCGTGTCCTTTCCGCCGTTGACAGCGCGAATGCGACAGCGCACGAGTCTTGGAGGCGGCAGTTGGCGTGCAACAGTATCGTGTGAGGCAACGAAGCAGCCACAATGATCATCATCAACACCCGAACCACGCACCACACACACACACACACAAACACCAAGCACACACTCATACACCCGCATACAAACTCATACAAACTCATACAAACTCATACAAACTCATACATTCGTTTACACACACACCACACACGCGTACATGCTGTTTGGATCGCTCTCCTCTGGTTCCGGCGGCAGTTCCACGTCCAGCACTTCATCCTGTTTCCAACACACACATACATACACACACACACGTGCACACAGCGATAACAATGTGTGATGCTGCGTGAGCACATCCTCAGCGCAAACCGAGTCGATGAATGCACAGCATGCCAGCACTGCAGTGTTGCAGTGTTGTGGTGACGCACCTCAGCCTCAGCCTCAACCTCAACTTCAGTTTCAGGCACAGCCGCTCGTGTCGACAACTGTGCTGCTCCCACGTCACCCTGCTGCTGCTGCTGTTGCTGCTTCTCACGTGCGCCAGTCCGTTGCTTCTGCTCCGGCTCCCCTTCCACCGCCCTCTTTGCTGTGTCTGCCTGCTGCTGGCGCTGCTGCTTTGCGCGGTCTTTCGCCAGCGACGCCGCATACGCCTCCTCCTGCTGCTCCCGCAACGCGTGTCTGCAGCGACGACAAGGATGAAAAACGTGTGCAGGGTGCATGCACGCGCACTGAAGACATTCTTCTGCCTACAAGCACGCACAGCAAATGCCTTCATATTGCATGTCAAGTGACATCGCATGGCAGGGGATGTTTGCAGCGGCGCACCTCTCAATGGCCGCCATTCTCTCCAAATTCTACCCAGCGTACACGCCCACAAGTCCGCACGTGAACATGAGGATATGTGAGTTGAACAACAACAAAGAACAAGGCAAAGCTGCACCTGGTTGACAGCGCGCTTGTGCACACACACACACAAACACAAACAAACACAAACAAACACACACACACACACAGAAACACACAAACAAACACACACACACACACAAACACAAACAAACACACACGCATATCAAACACAAACACAAACAAACAAGCACACACATATCAAACACAAACACACACACGTATCAAACGCAAAATCACGTCGACATTCGTGTCGAGGTAAGCATGGATAAATGCACGCACACACAGTATGCACCTTTCGCTCGCGGGCAAACGCGCGTTCAGAATCCGGCAAGGACTGTGAGAGAAATCAAGCACAGCCACGCACACAATATCAACGTGATGAGAGGCGCACACACACACACACAAAACAAACGACATGCAAACATGCTGCGCATCTCTCTGTATCTCTGTCTCTCGCGGCTGCTGCCATAACACAAGATGACGCACCGAGCCAAGGCGCTGCCCATCCATGCGATGTTGGCGTTGAAGTTCTTTCAGGGCAGCCGCTTTCTTCTGCCGTTCTCGCTCAATGCGTTCACCAGCCTGGAGTTCAACGCGACACGAGCGGGAAACAGACCAACGTAATGTGCAGAACGAAGGTGCGCGCACAGTCAGTTCATTGTCGAGCACGTACAAAACATGCAATGCAAGCTCACACACGCATGCGCACACTCAAAGCACGCACACACGCAATGCAAGCCCGCAGACACACACGCACACGCAATGCAAGCTCGCAGGCACACACGCACACGCAATGCAAGCGCACAGCACACCTTCGATCGGATGTCATGCGCAACGTCTGTGAATGCACGGCGGCGACGGCCAGCGGCGTCGTTGACGGCCGGGTTTTCTTGTGCGCTACCAATTGGCTCCAAGTGAGCCCATCGCCGCAACCTCCTGCGTCCAAACATAAGCACTGCGCCCAACAGCCCCACCACGAGGGCCAGCACCACGTTCTTCACAAAGTCGTCCATCCTGTGTGTTTGGTTGCTTCACATCGAGCGTCATCATCCTCCGCGTTGCAGATAATTGTATGAAAATGTTCGCTAATCTTCAGTAACCACTCAAAAAGAACGACAAGAAGCAAGCAAGCAAGCAAGAGCAAGCAAGAGCAAGAGAAGAGAAGAGAAGGAAAGTGAGCGATGCAGGCGTTGTCGACTGCGAGGCTGCTGACAGCAGCAAGGCTCTCCCCACGGTTGCTGGCGCCAACAACGCGCCTGGCAAGCAGCATTCGCAAGAGGAGAACGGCCCTTCCCATGAACACTGTCAGTGACACCATGCATGCAGTTTGGTTGGTTGGTTTGGTGGTTGCAATCGCTGTGCTTGTTGAGTTGTGTCACAACGTGTGGCACATGAAGTCGCATCATGCGTTTGTGTTTTTGTTGCCTGAACTCTTCATGCACGTCCTCCTCCGCCATTACTCTCTCCTCATACAAGCCTCACCGCTCACTTTCTCGCTCTTGATTTTGCTTTGCTTTTGAACACACTTTCTCAGGGTATCAACTTTGTTCCTCAGCAAGAGGCGTGGGTGATTGAGCGGTTTGGAAAGTTCTTCAAAGTCCTGGACCCGGTACGCCACACGTCTCGGTCGTGCGTGCGAGTGTGTGTGTGTGTGTGCGTGCGTGCGTGTGTGTGCGTGCGCGCGCGCGTGTGTGTGTGCGTGTGCGTGTGCGTGTGTCTGACTGACTGACTTTCTCTCTCTCTCTCTATGTATAAATCTCTCTCTCTGTGTCTGTCTGCCATCTTTGCATCTCCTCACCGGTGCCTCGTCTGGAATTGCTCGTTACCTCATCTGCCGTGTTTCGTGTGTGTATTGCTATTTGCTTTGCACGTCCTCACCACCACTGCACTGCTGCGTGCTTGCCTGTGCAGGGTCTGCAACTGCTGATTCCACTCGTGGATGAGGTCAAGTATGTGCACTCGCTGAAAGAAATTGTCGTCGAAATCCCCTCGCAGTCAGGCATTACTCAAGGTACAGCAACCAACATACACCGCTGTATCTGGTTGTCTGTTTGTATGTTTGTTTGTGTTTGCACGGATGGGCTCCCGACATACAATGGTTTGATGTGATGTGGTGTCATAATTGTTCTGGACCACAAAGCCGCTCCCCCCCCCCCTTTGTCACTGCGTGACCCCTCTCACCGACCAACCCGCTCAACCCCATCCCTTTGTGCTTGTTCCAACCTCAACTGCTTTGTGCGCAGACAACGTGACGCTTCATTTGGATGGTGTGCTGTATCTTCGCATTGTGGACCCGTACAAGGCGAGCTATGGCGTGGAGGATGCCGAGTACGCGGTTGCACAGCTCGCCCAGACCACGATGCGCTCTGAACTCGGTACGGTCTTGCGAGGAGGAGAAGCCCCGTTTGTGTGTGTGTGTGTGTGTGTGTGTGTGTGTGTGTGTGTGTGTTTCTGTGTGTGTGTGTGTTTCTGTGTGTGTGTGTGTGCGTTGTGTTGTGTTGTATGACACTTGAATGCAAGCGTCTTCAGGCACTCGATTCTGTTTCCAAGGCATTCTTGTGTGTTCGGTGCTTGTGTCGTGTCTCACCCCACTATACGTGCGTGTGTGTGTGTGTGTGTGTGTGTGTGTGTGTGTGTGTGTGTGTGTGTGTGTGTGTGTGTGTGTGTGTGTGTGTGTGTGTGTGTGTGTGTGTGTGTGTGTGTGTTCTGGTCATCCAGGCAAGCTGAGTCTCGACAACGTGTTCCGTGAGCGGCAGGCCCTCAACGAGGCCATTGTCGGTGCGTTACTGTCACCCACGATCACCACTTCTCGAACTGTCAAGCGCGTGTGCTGACCAAGCACCGCACATTTACACCCGTCCGTCACCCTGCACGTAACCCCGCCCCCCTCACACACACACATACACACACACACACACACACTCTCTCTCTCTCTCTCTCTCTCTCTCTCTCTCTCTCTCTCTCTCTCTCTCTCTCTCTCTCTCTCTCTCTCTCTCTCTGTCTCTTACTGCTGCTGCTGCGGATGCAGACGCCATCAACGATGCGGCGGGCCCCTGGGGCGTGTCGTGCATGCGCTGCGAGATCCGCGACATCATGCTCCCAGATCGCGTTGTCGACGACATGCAACGCCAGGTGCAGCGGTGGCGGTGGTGGTGGTGGTGGTGGTGGCATGTCTGCATGTATCGACACACATACATACAGTATCCATGCACACATCCACTCTTCCTTGTGTCGCACCACAACCCCCCTCCCCTTGTTTTTTCTCACCACCAAACCCCTGACGCTGGCCGCCTGCAGGTGTCTGCTGAGCGGAAGAAGCGGGCGGCAATTCTCGAGTCGGAGGGATCACGCGCATCCGCCATCAACGTCGCAGAGGGAAAACGAACAGCCGTCATCCTTGCCTCAGAGGTAGATGTTGTGCTGTGTTGTGTTGTGCTGTGTGACACGTTGGCTCTCTTGCGTGTATGTGTCCAGCCCGCATGTGTGGCGTCATTTGAACTATGGAGCGTGATCCTCCGTCACCCCATCCTCCAACACCTTACCTGTACTCACCATCATCCCATCCCCTAACACCATGACCACCACCACCACCAGGCGAACCGGCGCCAGCAAGAGAACATTGCTGAGGGTGAGGCCGCTGCGATCAAGATCAAGGCGGAGGCGACGGCGCAGGCCGTGGAGAAGATTGCGGCCGCAATTCAGAACGAGGGCGGCAAGGACGCTGTTGCCCTCACCATCGCCCAGCAGGTTTGCTTCCTTTGCTACCTGCGTGTCGTGTGTGTCTGTCTGTCTGTCTGTGTGTGTGTGTGTGTGTGTCTGTCTGTCTGTGTCTGTCTGTCTGTGTCTGTGTGTGTTGTCTGTGCCTGTGCCTGTATTTGTTTGTTTGTGCCTGTGCCTGTGTCGGCGCATGTGTGTCTGTCATGGCTGTTGCTGTACCTGTGACTGTCTGTGTCGCTTCCTCGCCTGTCCTGCGTGTTTCCAAGCGCTAAGTCTTCCCCCCCCCCAATTCTTTACCCCATCTCACGTTTTGCCACTTTCCCTCCTCCGCTCTTGCTCCAACTCGCGAACGATGCGATGTGGCTGTAGTATGTGGAGGCGTTTGCGAAGCTGGCTAAGGAGAATAACACCATGCTGCTCCCCGCCAACATGAGCGACCCAGCCTCAATGATCGCACAGGTGCAACCCCTGTCGCGTGGCTTGTGTGTGTGTGTGTGCTTGTGTTTGTTTGTGTGTGTGCTTGTGCTTGTGTGTGTGTGCTTGTGTTTGTGTGTGTGTGTGTGTGTGTG